AAAGCCCGGGTTTCTCCTTCAAAGATTATTACAATACCTAGATTACAGCTGTGGTATCAGTCAGAATGAGCAATATGCTCAGAAAAGAACTTAACCTCGCCAATGTCAACAAATTATTTTGGACCGACTCAAAAGTGGTTCTGGGTTACATAAATAATGATGCCCGTCGTTTTCACACATTTGTAGTCAATAGATGCCTTCATAGACAAGGATGGTATGATCAAGGTGGGAGGTAGTCTAAGTCACTCATCATACACTCATTCATTTAAGCATCCACTGATCCTTCCTAAAGAGCATCATGTAACAAAGCTGATAATTGCACACTGTCATGAAAGTGTAAAGCATCAAGGTAAAGGTTTCACAATTAATGAAATCAGATCGTGTGGCTATTGGATACCTGGAATAAATAGAGCTGTCACATCTTACATTTGCAACTGTGTAACTTGCAGAAGGCTGAGAAGATCTGCTGAAGGACAGAGGATGAGTGATCTTCCCTCAGAACGTGTAGAGCCTTCTCCACCTTTTATGTATTGCGGTATGGACTGCTTGCTGGTCCTTTCATAACTAAAGAAGGAAGAAAACATCACAAAAGATACGGTCTGCTTCTAACATGCCTGTGTTCAAGAGCTATTCATATAGAAATGTTAGAAGATATGTCTACAGATGCCTTTATTAACAGGTGCTTTATTGCAATTCGAGGTACAGTACGACAAATAAGATGTGACCAAGGTACCAATTTTATAGTTTTTTAACTCAGCACTGCAGGAACTTTATCCAGAAAGGCTCACTACTTTTCTGGCAGAAAAACAGTGTGACTTTGTTCTGAATGCACCTCATTCCAGCCATGCAGGGGGTGTATGGGAGCGGCAAATAAAAACTGTACGGAGCATTCTTAGTGCTACCGTCACCCTTTCACACAAATGTTATAAGTGAAAATTAGTCATGTTTGAGAAACATTGATAATTTGGTGGGAGTGTAACAGACTTTAATAAGAGTTATCCTTAATTTCTCTATTTGTTTTGTGTTGCCTTTGATATATTTTGCATGTTAAAAATTGTCTAAGGATCGCATTGTTTCCGTTGTTTATGGGGGACTTTTATTTTGAAACGGAATCTGCTTTCACTGCTCAGAGAGCGTAATGAGAAATGGTTTGGAGAGCGAACTCTTCATGACGGCTTAACAGAACTCGTGCACGAAATGACCGTTTATAAGCTTATTCAGCAATTATTGAGCCATTCATTCCTGTTTTGTACACATTGTCATAATAGTGTCAATCGGGGGGAAAAATGCTGTAATTAATCACAATTAATTGCATAATAATATAATACTTTTATATTGTTAAAAATTTCACATTGAATCTCCAAACTAATGTAGAAACAACAAAGATTAAATATTTTAAATGAGTTTAATAAAGTTAAATATGAGTTTTTACTAAGTAAACTATCATTAATAAAGACCAGTGTACCAATATTGCTGCACTGATGTCTCTATTGAATGCATTTCCCCTCAATTATAGCCATTAATTATAGCCATTCAACATTACAGTATAATTGAAAGCTATTATTTTCAACATTTAATAAGCTTTAAAATATATAACAACTTTTAATTTAAGTGAACATAAACAAAAGTAACATAAATAAATGTATAGCTTTGAGTTCATGTTAGTTATAAAATCTCATGTACTTTTTAAAATTTGTTTGAATTACTGTTATTCAGAAGTATATTTTAGCAATGCTTGTCAGGTACACAGTATATATTAGTACATAGTATATTAATAGGTCATTAAAAAAGATAAAGTATATCTATGACCATACACAGTTCATCATACAGGAATACTAGACCAAGTTTGCAGCTGCAATTTTGTTTAATACTGCAATACAGATCTATTTCTTTGGGTGGCAGTAAAGGACTGAGATGTAAACTTGATGACTTTACTAAATTGCCCAGCAGACAAGTGATATGGATATTTATTTACTGGTTAAAAACACATCTTATGACATAAGATAATAATAATAATAATTATTATTATTATTATTGTTGTTGTTGT